TTATTATTATTATTATAATAAAAGGTTTGTGTGTTATGCTTTCCGGCTGAAATTTTCCAGACAAAATACAGACCAGAGTCCTCATTGATCCAATATGGTGAAATATTAAAGGAAGAAAATGATTTTCCCTTATGTGGGTTTTAACTGGTTTGGAAAAGGAAAGTTAGGGGCAGGAAAGATGTGCTGAATGGCAAAAACATTCCTTCTTTGTTGTCCAAAATTTTCCAGTTCTATTTTATTGATGGACATTTGTTTTCATTGCATAATAAAAAGAAAAAAAAAAACATCTGAACATCAGAGATTCAACATGTGGTGGTGCCATACTGCAACCACAATAACAAGCAGCTGCATCACAGGCATTCAGGCCTGCCTTTAGCTCTGCTTTCTGCAGACTGTCAAGCAGCCAGGGACAGACACAGCAGCCAAATCACAGGAAGATAAAGGCCTTTTATTGGAAAGCGAGGCTAAAGCGCAGAAGGACGGTGGCTGGGTGCAGGACAGGACCGGAGGGGAAACCCAGGGATGGAGGCTGCAGGGATGACAGACAGTAGAATGGAACCGGAGCTTTATAAATAGTCTCTGAAAAAGATACTGTAACTCTAGCCGTCGGCCACTTTAAGTAAGCAGTCTGCTGGCCCTGGCAGAAAGGCACAGGAAACGTCCAATCAGTGAAGAGCTGGTAGCTGAAAGACGGCTGGCTGAAGACAGCTGGTCAGCGGACTGTCACTGACCTGGCAAAGCTCGCCAGAACAACAAACACACAGGTGAATGGGACTGGGATCGCAAAGAATCAACAGCGCTGCACGCACAAAGTACATTTTGTACAAATGTACCAGAGCAGGCGCATTAGGAGACTTGTGAGAGTGAATGTGTTTGATATTATTCCATTAGAGCTTTCTAAATGTTACACACTGGACCTTTAATTGATGCATCATAATAATCATAATAATAATAATCATTTCTTATTAGATGCTCTCTATTTAGGCAAGGTGCAAAATAAAACCATGCAATAAATGCTCATATTTATTGTACATATTTGTGCCACTTCAGCCTGAATGAATAAAGTAACTGAAGTCATTGAAGTCAGCTCACTGACCGAGGTTCCAATGTGCAGAGGAAAAACACTCTGCGGAGATGCAGCTTTAATTCCTGGCATAGAACATGTACTGTATGGTTTTGTTGGAGGGAGGGAAGCCAGTGAGGGATCAGGTCTTTGTTAAAGCACTGGTCTGCCTCCACTCTCCGTTCCATTTGAACATCCTCCCCAGGCTAAGGTCATTTCAGATTGTAAATTTTGAGTTTCTCATTCTCTAATAATGACACCATGACTTATTGGTACATTGTGGTACTTGTGAAGGTAATACTGTAATTACAGAGGGGCAGAATTTGTATTGGAAGAACTGAGTACTGAGTTTTACTTTTATAGGGTAATGCTCAAGGCACAAGGAATAGAGCTGGGCCAACATGTGAAGCTCCAAGATGTCCAATGAAAATCAAAAAGACTTGAAGACCTGCATTAGTAATTTATCTTTGTTCCATTTATGTGTGTGTGCAACCAGTCGGCTCATCCAGAGAAGGTTTCTAGTGCGAATGCTCTGTGGCGATGGTTTCTAACCTTCTTACTTAAGGGAGTCCTTTCATTCATTTTCATCATTGAGTAAAGTGACATATTTATGGATATTTCATATTATATTCAATGCATAATAATAACAGCAGAGAACAGCTGATAAGCGGTACAATGAACCCAAACAGTGAACACAATAACTGCAGCAAGTTTGTGTAAAACAAGTCATGAGTTTTCCTGATATTTTTATGAACCTTTTGTACAATTATCTGTCTGTGTTATGTATGTAACAATCATACTTTCTTAATAAGCTACTCTTTTTTGACAAATCAAGTGTTTTCTTTTCCCTGATGCTTGGCCGTTGTTCTATAAGCTTTGTCCTAGTGCAGGACGAGGCTGTTCACCAGAGAGTGAAGGCTCTGTTAGTGTAGCCTGTGTTCGGGTCTTCAAAGTTTAGATCTTAAATATAATCTAAACTTTAAAAACAGCAATTTCATTTAGATTTATTCACAAAAATGAATGGAATTCTGATATATAGGCCTACTGTGTATATTTATAAAGTTTTCTTACACCCCTTAGAATCAAAAGGGCCTTGCATCCACCTGTGAAGCTTTGGCGACCCCTAGTGGGGGTCCTGACCCCCAGGTTAGGAACCAGTGCTCTATGGGCCCAAAAATGCCAAATCCAGCAGAAGGTGAAAAACACAGAGTTTTATTATTTTTGGCCCAGTGAACAACTTTCATGGGAATATGTTTAGGGAATTTGTTATCCAATATGCTGTATATATCCTGGGTACTACTGCAGATTCTGTACTCCAAAAGATTCATTTTATTTAATTTTAACTCCTGGCCCAGGTTTTTAAGGAGCAATAAGTAAGGTTTAACAGCGTTATAGAACAAACTGACCAAAATATGGTATATCAAGAGGGTTCAACCCTGACGTATGTGTAGAATGTAAATTTATATAAGTGTATTATTTCAGGGATATATTCTTCAAAAAAGTAGGTCAATTGTGTTTCACTGGGTTTGCCCTCTGTAATAGCTCTGGCCCCTGATAGTTTTACACAGATAAGTCTAATTTGAGTTTCCAAGCAGATATGACAGATTATCATGGGAGTGGTATAAGCAGGTTTCATCTGAATGCAACTCAGGAATGCATAATTGAGGAAAATTGTACGTTTCTAAACAACGGAAGGCTTTCATTACTGGATCAGGAAGTCCAGGGCAGCCAGCATGCCTGTGTGCTATACTTATCCCCCAGTGGCAGGCAGCGTCAACACTGAAAGGAGGGAAATAACAAGATGCTGTGACAGATCCCTGGTAGTAGAGCCAGCCAAGAAAGGTACACATGCACTTGCAGTTGCGCAGATGCCAAAGTGAGCACTCGGAACACACACACACACACACACACACAGGCAAGAAAGCAGCTGAAAAAACTCTGCCTGGAGACGCAGAGGAATGAGATGCTCATAAAACATGCATGGTGCAAACTCCAGCATGCACCAGGTCCCAGCTGGGCACCATTCAAGCTCCGGGGTTCATCGGGTACTGCATTTTAAAAGCTGATACTGACAACAACGGTCTGGTAACAGAGCGGCAAACAGGCACAATAGACAATGGATGCCTTTGTTTGCTGTAGTTAAGTTCAAATGTGACCATTTTGGGTTGTAAAAATGATGAGAAGTTTCCATTTGCCACGCAATATTTCTTTTATCCGAGGGAAAAGTAATGGAAGCTAACTCAGTGCATTCTTTAGGTGGGGTTACAGCTCTTACAGCACTGGTACTGGAAATGTATTGTCTTTAAAGCAAGAACAAATGTACGAATAAACAATAAATAATCAATAAAATCCAACTGCAGGTTAACAGACTATTATTAAAGCCATATTGGCCCAGTATTATATATCAACAAATTAATATACTGTTCTGTCCCAGCAGACTTCCTCCACCCCTGCCAGGCTATAAAAAGGGGAAAATGCCGGGGGTTTACTGCTGTGCAAATATCCACCTGAAAAAAACACTGCCCTTCTGCTCCACCTCTCTGTTGGGCTCTGCAACAATCTGGCCCATTCATTCACACAGGCCACGCTGAAACTGGAACTTCAGGGAAATAGTCCTTTTAGGCCTTATTATTCATGTGACAAGAGGTCAGTGTGTTTTATTCACACTGGGCCCATGTTTGTGGAAGAAGGAAAGCCTGACATGATGTTTAAGGTAGCACTGCTGAGTGAAAACAGGCTGAAAATACAGTATACTGAATGTAGTAATATGTGCATACAGTACCTGGGCATAGTCTGTAGTCTCTGGCGGAGACACTTCCTCCCTGGGGTACCATGCTCTTCATCCTGAAGGCTTCTTCAGGGTGGTTGAAGCGGAAGAAGGCTGACTGGCCAAAACACAGCATACAGCCTGGAAAACAACACATATATCATTGGTTTTCATTCTGTACCACAGGACGCACCGGAAGTTACAAAAAGAACAGCTTAAAGGAGGTAACAGTGTTGGGAGATTCTTTGAAAGTGTATGGGTTCATTTCTGTTCAAACTGAAGGAAATGTGGCCCACTATTACTCAGAATATAGTATGTATGCTAAAGTATTAGCAAGGCACATGCTGATTATTTGGTGACTACACATAATTAATTAAAGGAATAGTTTGACATTTTGGAAATATGCTTATTGACTTTCTTGCTGAGAATGAGATGTTAAGATTGATACCACTCTAATGTTTGTGCTAAATATGATGCTAAACCAAAAGGCCATTAGCCTAGCTTAGCATACAAAATGTAAAATGGGGTTAAGAACTAGCCTGGCTTCATCCAAAGTGTTAAAAATATCCACCTACCAAGCACTTGCTGGGGGCTTGGTGGAAAGAAGGAGAATAAGCAAGCCTGCTAAGCTAAGCTAACAGTCTGGCTCTAGCTTCATATTTACCTACAGACCAGAGAGTAGTATCAATCTCCTCAACCAGCTCAAGGAAAGAAAACAAATATTTGTATTCTTCCACAATGTCAAACTATTCCTTTCAGTTGATCAGTGGAACCAGAACATGCACAGACGTTGTGAGGGGATTTTGCTCTAACCTGGAAAAATAACCCTGATCCCTATGTGTTAGCCAGCATTAAGAATGGTTAATGTGATAGCATAATATAAGGCAATATTGGGCAACATGGGCTGTTGCTGGGGCAACTCTAGCCCAGAAACTGTGTGCGTGAGACTCTTCATAGCATCCACATTGGACAGAGACACAGAGGACTGTCATAATAGCCAACAGAGAGGTAAGTCAGGTGAAGAACAGGTGTCAGAGCTGTTCTGACAGCATCGGGGTGAAAGCAGTGCAAAGTGCTCAAACAAGAATCAGCAAAACTGTGCTGACTCAGACAGCAGTGTGTTCAACAAGTCAACACAGCGGCACGTAAAAAACAAAGCATGAGGGCACAGAGGTCAGTGTAGCTATGTGAAAGTGATCATGGATAACACTTTAAGTGCTTAAACTTTAAGTTCTTTAAATATCATAAAAGTTTAGGCTTTGCACCAAAATGAGATATTTACAATTTGCACGTACACACATTTTTGTGTTTACATTTAAAAGGGTTAGGGTCGAGATATTTGTTTTCCTCTCTGGGAAGCAGAAGGTTGCATCAGAAGTGTAAATGAAATTCTAATTAGTAAAATACCCCCAACATCAAATAAATCTGTCTATTCTCGCTACGTGAAATCCCATTGGTTTACACAGTTGAACTATCTGATGTGCCTCGCCCTGACATCCTGCTTCTGCAGGAAACACATCCAATTAAGGAGATAAGACACTATTAAAAAAAGCTGTTTCAGTAGTAGTTTAAGCCCACAGTGAACCAAATGATGATGACAGACTGAATATTTTATGTAAAAGGATATTTAACTTGTTAGATGTTGTTTAGCTATGATAAATACAGCCTAGAACTCATTTTAGGTTTTCAGGTGCATGGTGATCTATCTCCTATCGTCTCAGCACTGTCAGGCTTATCCTCCTGGAACTCTTAAGCTGCACTAATCCATATTTTTATGACAATGGATCAAGGGATTATGTGACCACCCAACTCTGCAGTTCCCCTCTTCTCTACGGAGAGTTTTTAGTGTTTTTCAGCTCATGGTTTTGGCAACTTTAATGGTTTGGTTTCCTCTCACCACGCTCATCAGCTTTGTTTACAGCCACAGGAGGCATTTAGCATTTAGCAGCTAAAGAACCATGTTTGCGATATGATTAGTGGGAATGATCATTTTCCATCATAATTTTCATTTTCACTGAAAAAACAATTAAATCTTGATGTGACGTTTTTATTATAATGCTGTCACACATTTTACCGTACAAAAACTGCAGCTTCTGTGATTTGGCTATTGAACTTGGTCATATTGCGATTAATTGTGCAGCCCTAATAGAGAATATGTATATGTTTGAGAGAAAATCAAAAATCTTCCCATGATTCACTATTATTCCAAGCAAAATTGTCCATGTATTGGTTGTGCTGATGGTCAAGAATAAAAAATAAAAAGAACCTGCTAATGTTGTTTTTGGTTAAAGGTGTCTCTAATGTGAAGCAGCAGGAGGAATATTACCACAGTGCTGATCCTCATACTGATCTGTATTCACTTAATGACACAACTCAGACCCAACAAACACTCGGTCTCTATGGAACTATCAATCGCATCCACTTATCATCCTGGTTTGAAATGTCAAAGCACATAATGCACATAACTAATTCAGCCCCTTCATGTGCCACGAGCTCGATAACAGATAAGCAATCTCATGTTTATTGCTTTCTCAATATAGCACCATTGTTCTGCCGCGGTTACAAGGGAAAGGTTTCCGGCCCGGGCACAGATAAGATCCCTGCCTGTCGTCAGCGGAGAACACGAGGCCCAAGGTAAAGACAGAACCTTCTCCATTACACAACAGGCTGCAGTGATGTACAACAGAGCCAGATGCCCTTTTATTTTGGGCTGACACACACTGACAGCCTGGGAAGAAACCATCTGATTACATCGTGAGCTGTTCTGAGCAACAAAGATGGGAAAAGGGTGGTTTGTCAAGTGGTGTTATATGCAGAAAATGTATTTATTGGCCTGCATAGTCCTACAATTTAATTCACACAAAACAAAGTGTGTCCTTTATCCTGTGCAGGCATTGAGCCTATCCCTGCTGACACTGGGTGAGAGCAAGGATATATCACAGGGCTAACACATTCAGACAGACACCCATTCACATTCACCATACGCACAGTTGAAAGTCATCAGTTAATGTAAAACGTATGTCTTTGGACTGTGGAGAAATTTGGAGCCCCCAGAGGAAACCTATCCACACATAGGGAGGACATACAAAGAGAAATGTCTCAGCCAGCAGGTGGATTTAAAACCTGGACCTTCTTGCTATATGGTGACAACCATGGTGGTGCAGTAGCTGATACATACTGTAACAAAATCTATCTATTTTCATTTTTATTTTACTTACTATTACTATTAGAATGTCTAATTTTCACTTTGATCATTGAGGCCAGACACCAGCAAGGACCCTTCCCTCACCTGACAGGACAAACGCACCTCTTGCTGGGCTGTCAATCATTATTGTTTCCATTTTTCAAACGTGAAAAAAGAAAACACTTTTGGTTTCAGACGGGACACAAACAAGAGTCTCCTGGGTTGAAGTCCTGTGTTTGTTTGAGCCATCCATCCACCCCATCAGCTCCATATGGCTCATTATACTGCGTCTCCTGACTGGGGTGGACTCGTCCAGAACAGACACTAGAGGGATACCTACACATTCTCTGAAGTGGGGGGCCACTGACCAAGCTGCAGTATTTGACGACTTGGGAGTGAGACCCGGTTAGTATTTTGGTCTGAAATTTTCTTTTTTTACTTCTTTCAAATATGGGAAATTGTCCCCTTCATTTCTACCCAAAAGACTAATATATGGTGCAGTCGCTGTTGTGTGAGTGAGTAAATAAAAGACCAGAAATAGTGACTACAAAGCCCTGAGCGCTGCACATTTTTTTTTCCTGTCTAAACATGAATACATGAATACTACTGAGCACATCTCCGTATGATCAAAAGCCTAACTAAACGGTACTACATATTTGACCAATTCCATTCTTGATCAAAGGTTTTCAGAATTAAATCCCATTGTGAAAACTGATCTTGGAAGGAGTCGTCCCTTCAACAAAAGAAAAGTCATTTTTGGTGTTTTATAGACATTTATATTCTTCTGTATTCAACCAAATTTACAATTTGCACATTCTAAGCGCACAGTTGTGTATTCTGCACAGTTCCTCGACTTCATCAGCTTGTGAAGAATTGCTGACTAGTACAGTGGTGGTGCGAAATCCCACTTAAACTGATACTTTATATTGGTACAATAAATGCCACATGCCTACATGAGCCATCCAAATGCAGCACTTTGCTTATTTGCGTTAGTATTTCTTTTTCACCATCAGTTCCTGCATGGGGAGCGAAGAGACCAGCGTTTAAAATTTCCATCAGCGTTTCCTTCAGTGGTTACGACACCATCCTCAACATAATTTTGGTCGGTATTTTCCACAGCTAAAATTATTTCTGTCGATATTTGGAAAATGAGTGCACCATCGGTCTGGTCATGCAAGGGGAAAACAAAAAGATGCTGAATAGGACATCTGAAAGCAGTCATCAGGATGTTAATACTGCGGTCTGCAGAGCCACGTCAGCTCAGCCACCGTGTCTTCATGCTCTCCACTTCAGCAGTCATCCGACTCCCTCACCTAGCTCCTGTTTCTGACTCACAGCACACACTCCTATGTCTGACTTGCACTAACATGATCTCCCCGGTGAAGATCAGTTCAGTCCCTTCCAGCGAAAATGCTGGTTAAAAGAATGTAGCTTGAAGCGGCGTGTATCTGACACAGCCATGACAAACTCATCTCTCACTCTGAGGTCTAGAGGGGTTTGGTGACAGCTGCGTCATTTTTACTCAGCACTACTATCAAACGAAGAACGTGTCTGTTAGAGGGTTTGGGAAAAACCATGATGAAGGATAATAACTGTACCTGTAAGAACTGTGGGTGCCAATATGGGCCTGTCATTGGAACTAAATTGATCGTATTATTGTTTCCTATTCCAGCGAAAACCCATAACCTGATAAGAAGAAGGAGTATTTCACATAAGCATGCAGAAATATGTGATGGCCCATCAGCCTCAGCAAATTAGCTAATGTTAGCATGCTAAAATGCTTCAAATAAGATTGTAAACATAACTGCTAAACATCAGCAAGTTCACTTTACTTATTGTGGACATGTTAGCATGCTGCTGTTAGCATTTAGCTCAAAGCACCGCTAAGTAGTCTACAGTATCAAAGAGCTGTTAGCATGACTGTAGATGCATTGTCTTCCATTAAAATTGAAATGTT